AAAATTAATGTTGAAGAAAAAAAATTATTATGGTACGTAGAAAATGTAGTAATATACTCTAACTAAGGTACTACAATACTACAAGTATTCGTAACATCTAAAAATTCAATAATATAAATATTACGAAGTATTTGTTATTACAAATTAACATTGGAAGAAAAAAAAACTATTACCATTCCACATATACTAATCTAGTTAAGTACTAATATCTTCTTACCTTTTTATTTAATTTGTTTTGATTGGTAAACAAATATTTTTAGGGATATATTTGTCTTCACACTTTTCATAAAAACATTCTTATACCATTTTATAAGATAGGGGTCTATAAGAACAAATATAGTCATATGGAATCTAGTTTCATTCGTCTTAGTATTTACGGTCAAAGATTTGTAAAAACTTGCATGGATTTACATAAATCAGAACATCATTTGGAAACAAAGGGACCATATGATAAAAGGGCCTAGGAGTCACCTGTCATAATGTTCACTTTAAACATCTAAGTAGCTTCCACCTGAAAACCGAATTATTCTACTGTGTCATTAAAAACGGACACCATAATATGCTGATGTGGCATGTTATATGATAAAATTTTCTTTTATTTTTAAAAGTCAAAATGTACTATACATATATGTATAATTGGAAATACATGTTTTGTAAAAAAAATAAATAAATATAGTATATAAAAATCTATTTTTATATTATAAAATCACACAGAAAATTAAATTATTTGATTTGGTTACTTGCATGGTAGTTACTTGAGTCTTTTTAATTAGTTGAACCGTAGTCTCTTGGGATCCGACCCTTGCTTGCCCGTCTACATAGTAGTGGTCTAGTTAGGTTTATTTTTGTTAGGTACGGAACACGCCTATCAATACAATATTCGGCTTTAGGGTTCAATAATTCTAATTTATGTAAAAATCAGGTTGTTTGTCTCTCCCGTGCGATTATAGATTTATAGTCAATTAGGGTGCAGTCGGCAGCGCACATAGGTTCGGCGAAGGATTCACAGCGGCAGCTCAAGGTTTTTGCAAATTTTTCAAGCGCTTTCAGGTGTATTTTGGGATCGATTTTGGTCAATTTCAGGAAGGTTCAGGCATCTTTATTGGGAATGTATTGTTTAGTTTTCAGGCAGCATTTTCGGCAGTCGTTCTTCTCCGGTAGCAAATTCGTGATTATCCATCCTTTTGGTTGTTCGTTGGCTAGCTATTTCGTAAGTTTTTGGTGCAAGGGGTATTGACATTGATGAGAATACATTAACAATGTTTGGGAATGGGTGGATGAATGAAGAACATTGATGTGAATACATCAGCAATGTTTGTGAATGGGTGGATGAATTAAGAACGTTGATGATGAACAATTTTAATATAGTGATTTTTTTTTTAAATAATTGTGATATAAAAAAAATACATGTATTAAAAAAATACATGATATAAATACAATTTTAATACATTATGGAAATTAAAAATAATTCAAAATGAAAATAAAAATAGTAAATACAAGCCAATTAGATTTCGCCATGTCAGCTTTTTATGGTGTCATTTTTAAAGAATGATGACATTGTAGAATTTTCATTGAAAACCATATAACAATGAGAGTAGAACCCCCTTTGTCTTGTACAATGAATATAACTTTCTCTTTTTTATGAATATGGCCTATGGGATATACATATCAATACTCACATATTATCCCTTTAACACTTGTTTAATATGGAACGACACTTTTACTCATATGTTGGTTGATTTTGTTTGATTTTATTAGGGATCGGAGTATTATTATTACGAGTACATTCCAAATTATTTTATTTTTTAACTACAAATAATAAATTAAGAAAAAAATAAAACAAAGCTGTCAATTTTCAGATATATTATGGAATCTTTTTCAGTTGGCAGGAGTAGTGAAGCTATCCAACAATGTGTGCTAAACAGCTACAACCATAGCACCATAGTACAACAGTACTACAACACATGAAACTGTGAATAGTACTCCTTATGAAAGAGGAAGATAAAGTTAACAAAAAAAAAAAAAGAAGTTTATGAGTAGTACAAGGTTTCAAAAATGAGGTTTCAGTTAAAAAAAAAAATAAATTAAGAATTACATGTAGCTTAAGCTAGTGTACAAGATTTGAGGCCTTATTGATCAATTATGAACTATGATTCATCTTTTATGTACCTCTACTAGTCGGCTGTACTTCTGGTGTCACTTATGAAATCAGTTATCATTTTATGTTTATAAGTTCAGAAACATTGCAAGCATTCAATAGAATTACATTTTAGGCCATGTTGGAGTTTACAAAGTTCTAATAAAACAAGTGATACAATTCATACAAATCGACGAGAATTTGTTCTCTCCATCCAAAACAAGGAAATCTAGTCTAATTTTAGGAAATTTTGGAAAAAACCACCTTTTAATTTTTTTTTTTTTTTTGGCATATAACCACCTTTTTAAAATAATGTTACAATTTTTTTTTAAAAGGCAAAAAAACAAGATTTAAAAGATGGTTTTTTGCAAAATTTCTCTAATTTTATAAAGGATTGATTTGGTCTGATCAGAATGTTTATAATTATCCGACCTAATTTATTTAATAATAAGACTAAACTTTAATTGCATTATAATATTAATCTATACCCAAAAAAAAAAAAAAAAAACCATTATCAAAATAGATCACATTAGATTTGTCTCGTTATGAACTCTGCAAATATGTATTTTTTTTTTTAATATGCAACTAAAGATATTTTTAACAATAAGTAAATGATAATTAAAAGTTCTTATTTGAATGTTTCTGGTCTGGTCTAATCCAAATTTATTAAGAAATAAGTAATAAGTATCTGAAACAAGTTGAAGAAAACAAGTCTCATTAAACCATTTATTTGAATATAGTTAAAAGTTCGGGTCATAGTATATAGCTTGTATTTACATACATAATAACATATGCAATTTTTGAGTTTTATCTTAGGCATTAAAAAAAAAAAGTAATGTGGCTGCTCATAAAAGAGTAAAGTATCCTTATAATAATACTCCACTAGATGAAGCCCGTGCAATGCACGGTTTGTTTGAATTTTTTAAAATAATTTTTTTTTAATTTACGTGCAAAAAAATTGGTTATATATTTAGATAAAATAATATAGATGAAGCCCATGCGATGCACGGTTTGTTAGTATTATTTTAAAAAATAATCTTCATATTTATGTGATTAAAATTGTTATAATATTAGTTTTAAAATATTAGATAAAATTTCGAATCTCAAAAGATAATATTTTGTATTTAATTAATCTAAACTTTAAAATCTCATTAGTCAATTTTGCTTCGTGACATTTGAATTATTTAATTGTAAAAGAAATTAATAATCTCTTATTTAATTGGCTACAACTTAAATTTAATTATAATTCTACATGGCACGCTAAAAATTAAATCCTACGTGGCTCTCTAAAAACTCGAGGAAAACCTCCCCTTTGTATATATAATATATATTAGATTCGTTTTTTTTTTTTTTTTTTTTAGCATCACTTCCCTTATTAGTAATTTTATACTATATTTTATCATTTTTCTCACTTACTTTAAACCTCCGTCAAATTATTTTATCAATTTTCTCTGTTATGGTCCCTACTTAAATAATAAAAATATGTATTCTCTCACATATATTTTCTTTTTCATTGTCATATAATAATTTATTTTCATACTCATAATATTATAATACTCTCCTAAAACTCCATACAATCTCAAATAATATAAATTAATAAAAAAAAATGGAGAGAGTAATACTAATAAATATCTCATATACACTGATGTAAAAGTTGGTGAATATTGTATCATTTGTAGTATGTAATTATGTATTGATGTATGTGATATATGACATGCAAATAAAAGTCAAATCGATAATAATGTGCCCCAATAGTAACTAAGCGTCACGGAGCGTTTGTGGGAGAAAAAAACCACATTGTTGGGTCCATAGACGCCTAAACGGTAGACTAAAAGGGTCCCTTTTCTTCACGTTGATTTGGTCGGCCATCACAAGTACAATTTTCCTATTGTCTAACTAAAACCTAAATTAATTGAGAAGATTTTTTTAGTTGACTATGCAGGTTATAAGCTATACAAATACGTGGGATTATGACTACATCATTCTTATAATCGAGACTCAAGGTCACATGTATGAGCACCTAATACAAAGGTTGAAAAAGTGAAACATCACAACTACTACACATTACTATTAAAACAAATTAAATGGACTGCAGCCTTCTTGTAATTTGGTGAGCCCGATGAACATGTTGCCTATCTGTAATGCTACAATGACGAAACATCGACCCTTCAAGTTTGATCTGCTGTACTAGCCATAAATAATTGATGTCATTCCGCCCATCACCCCTTAAGAGAGTTTCAAGATTATAAGAATATGAACTTTCTTAAGGGGGTGTTTGGTTCGCAAACTGTTATGGGGTTGGAATCAGGAATAAAACCATAGTGGTATAGGTTTGGAACTTGATTCTTAATACCATATGTTTGGTATGCTTATGGAATGCATTTTTTTCTTTTATTTGATACCTAAAAGTATGGGAATGAGCTAAACCCACCTTCCCCCTAAGGTTTCTAAACCCCATACCTTAGGGGTTTGAGGTATGGGTTTGAAACTCTTATAATCATAAAACAAACATAAGGTATGGGTTTAAACCATTCTAAACCCATACCTTATGCCTTAATTATGCACTAGTAGAAAAACCCATAAGGCCACCGGTTCAAAACCCCCCTTTGCCACCGGTTTTGAACCGTTGGGCATTTGGGGGGTGGCAATACTCCTCTAAAAAGCCACCGGTTCAAAACCGGTGGCAAAAACAAGTATTGCCACCGGTTAACCGGTGGCAATAACCATTCCCGGGTTTTTTTAAAGGGGTTATTGGCATCGGTTCCTGTTCAAAACCGGTGCCAATAATGGCTAAAAAAAATTAATTTTTTTTTTTTTTTTTTGCATTTTTTTCACTTAAATTGATAAATAAACACTAACATATATATAAACTTACATATTTTCATTTAAAAAATGTTGTAATATTACAATTTTTGTCCAAAAATTAAAATAAATTACAAGGTTACAAACATATGCAGCTACACAGTAGCAGAAGTGCAGAACAGCAACACAAAAGCAGAACACCAGCACAGAAGCAGCCCCATATCTTAGTAAAACAAATTGAACTTCTTAGATGAAATTCTGGAACCTGCAAATCAAGAAAGCAATAGAAATTGAGATTAGTTAATGAAGCTTATATAATTTAAAAACGTGAATCTTAACAAATAGAATAAGACAATTTTTTAATACAAGAGGATCAAAGTTCCTTGCTAGGCCACCTGCAGCAGTAGCCTCGGCAGGGCAGCAGCAACTGCAACCTTGCTAGGCCACCTGCAGCAGCAGCCTCGGCAGGGCAGCAGCAGCAGCTGCAGCCTTGCTAGGCCACCTGCAGCAGCAGCCTCGGCAGGGCAGCAGCAGCTGCAGCCTTGCTATGGCACCCTGCAGCAGCAGCCTCTACAGGGCAGCAATAGCTGCAGCCTTGCCAGGCCACCTACATCTAATGCCACTTATAGTTCTAGTATTCAATGCATCATTCACAAGAAAACAACCACAGAAAATGAAAAAATATAAGGATGAATGCAACAAAGGGAGAACTACAAGTCCATGTACCTCAGTCGGATTAAAAAGACTACAAGCTTGATTAGTTATGTCTAGCAATGATGCTTCCTGCCATAACAAAAGCAAGTTGTCACACAAATAGAGGCAAAAAAAAAAAGAAAAGAATACTTCAAAAGAAATCCATAACAGACATGTGTATTATTACTTAGCATACAACAGGCCACACATACATCAATACCAATCTGCACAAAATTAATTATAAACTAAGGAATGCTCAATGAGGACAAGTATATATTCCACAAAAATCAAAATTCCAGCAAAAAAATTACGAACTTACCTTCTGAAAAATGGGATATTCAGCACTAAATCTGGTACAAGCAAAATTTGCAGCATCTTCACTTGTCCTGGGTTCTTGCTTGAGAAATTGATTGCAAGGAAAAGCCAAGACTTCAAAACCTGAGATACCAGATGCAAAATAACTTTTTCAATTAAAATGGGTGACAAAAAAGTTTCAGTTGAGTATAAGGAGGGAGCTCAAAATGAGAAAATAACTTCTCTGAATAAAGCACACCTGATTCAATAAAAACAAAAACAATTTTGATTCACAATCACTCGCCTACCTTTCCTAATCTCTTTTTGTGTCCCTTCACATGCCTAGCTCTCAAATGAAGGCATTGACCTCCTCTTAAGTTCAAATTAAAGTGAGTACCAAGATACTAAAATGTCAATTATCATTTCAGACATCCCCTTCAACCAGCCAAAGTAAAGAAAAAAAGAAGAAGAAGAAGAGATATCTACTATACATCTAATAAATTATGATTTCACATGAACACACTAGCTGGCTAAGTTATTTGACCAAGAAATCATTCTTTTCATGCCTTACATCTATACGCTTCAAAATTAGTCACAGCCAATTATTAAAGCCTTTAAAGGCATAATTAAGCATCTTCTATTCTTTTCTAGTATTTATTGAGAAGTTAATAAACAAAAGGAGATTTGATACTAACCATAACAAATGGGAACGCATATCATAACATAACTAGCAGATGTCGGAGGAACCTGAACCATTTAGAAGAAAATAACATAACTAGTATCATAAGCCCTTATTAAGAGATGGGAACGCATATCAGAAAGAAGACAGATAAGCACTGAAATGCAATAATCTGGATAATTCGTACAAACACCTAACAAATAAAGCAATCAATTTAATACCTCAAATACTTACACATGCATCCTCAAAAGTGGAAAATGGCAGAGCATATTCTACAGCCCTTGGTACCATGTCGAGCTTTGGTTTAGCCCCCAAAGCAAGAACCAACCTGGCAGTCTAAGCAAACAAACAAGTAATCAGCCTGAGCAATACTTTAACAAGTAATAAGGATGAATGCAACTGATATTCAAGCTCAAATTGGATCCTCATTCTACAATACTTTCATCGTGCATCTTGAACACTTGCAATAAAAAATTGAATGATTATACTTCAAAAATAAAACCAAATTGTGGGTTGTGAACACCTAGTGATTAGAATTATGGCTTAAATTCATGTCTTTAACATGCTAAAAAATAGCAGCCCCTAGTAAGATTACAGCAGCATATTGCATAACAAAATTGCTTACAACCAACCTTAAATCCATAATCAACCTTAACCCATTAACGTACATACTCTAAAAAAATAATAGGTCATGATAGGCACAAGATTAGGCATAAAAATTATGAAATAAATCAGTTAAAACCATTCAATTCACATAGTTCACTAATTAACCTGACAGCAGCACTTTTGCTTAGGTTTAGGCTCATAATCATATCGAAACTTACCCAAAACATGATAATTTAACTTAGAGATATATCTAACATGATGCTATACCATATTAGGCACAAAAACAAACTAAATCAAGACAAAATGAGGCTGTAAACCCACTGAACAATACAGCAATTAGAGCAGCAAATTAGTGAACATTATAGTACAATTAATACTTGAAAACCACCACAAAACGCAACAATAATTAATGGTACCAAAGCTATATATATATATATATATATATATATATATATATATATATATATATATATACTACTTCTAGGCATGATTATGCAACATAACAACCAGAAAAAAAATAAGTAAATAATTAAATAAAATCAGTGTAATTTGTAGAAAAAGGAGCTTACAGTGTAAATTAGATCAATGATAACAGACTCAAACTATTATTAGCTAACAAGAGGGACAAAATCGAACTCAAAATCAAACATCACATACAAACTCAAACCCAAACACAGCAACCACATCACAAAATCCAAAATATAACCTTATAACTCAATGAAATCGAAATCAAAATCAAAATTCATATTATCAGCTGTAAATACCCCAAAAAAACCCACTAAACACTCAAAAAACACCCAGAAAAATGCCATAAAAAATCGAAACATGTCTGTCACACTAACACAACAACCTAATCATTCCAAATCAATTCAAACCAAAAAAAAAAAATCAGAATTTCGGTAAATTGAAGCCCGATCTGAACCAGATCCTAACCCTAAAAACACAATTCAGCAAAAAAAAAAAAAAAAAAGAAATCGAAAACAATCGAAAAAATTACAAATACAATTACCTTATTCTCGGATTTAAGCAGAGGACTCGAGAAGAGATAGAGAGATGGAGTGGGCTGGCGGATCGCGACCACCGTCACCATAATCACCTTGGCGCCGTGAAGAGAACAACATGTTCATCAACCTCATCACAACATAACCCCAACTGTTTCGGGTGAAAACAATGGGACCTTGCCGAAGGTCTGCTGAAACGGAGAAGACTGGATTCGGTCCAAGTTATGTTGGGCCGAAGGTTTCCTGCACAGTAAACACACGTAAACTAGCCTCGGGGGTGTTGCCGAGGAAGGCCCCTCCGATGCTAAAGTCAGTATAATGTGTAGAAAGAGAACACTATGCAAGAGAATTAGTTGCTTGAGGCTTTGCTTGAATATATGAGAATATATGAATGAATGTGACTATATGAATATTGATGGCTTTTATACCTCTTCATACATGGAGAAGTTGGGCCTTAGCCCAATTGGCTTGCTTTGAGGGCTGACCTTTGACTTTAGCACAATTGGAGAGTTGAACCTTGATCTTGGGCTTTTAATTGGATCATTTAATGCTTAGGCCCAATTGGACTAAATTAGACCCAAACAACTTGCCCCCCAGACCCGATTTGGAAGGATGACGGGTCGGGTTTGATTTAATTCAGAAAAGGAGGGAAGTAAATGATTTAATTAATCCAAAAATTTGAATTTAAACCGTAATTAATGAGATAACAACGATTAAGGCGGATGATTGTGGAAGTTGGACGGATAATGGGCAGTTTAATCGCAAGGTCGTGTGTTTAACGGTTACTTAGTGGGGTATTTAAGAGAAATTGAAACGCGGACTCCCCGTATTCCCATTTCTGGAGATATAATCAGAGGCGCGTCATCTCTCCTCACTTATTCACCAACACAAACCCAGAATTCTCGAGAGAACCCAAGAACCCGCATCAAAACTTCGCAAATTCCCCGAGCATTAAGCTTAGAAACTGAGACTTGCCACTACGAACTCGTAAATCGGCAACTTTCGCTTCAGATTAAGGTTAATTCCTTTGATTTCAGTTTATTTTTCTTCGAATTCGAACTCCTTCCCTTTTTTTTCGACTTTTTTCTTCGAAATAATCAATGGCAAGAGGAGTTAGAGGTAGAGCCCGTGCTCCAAGAAGAGCAAGGCCAATTCCCGATCCTAGGAACAGGATTGGGACCTGGAATGGACAAAGGCCAGAGTCTGACCCTGCTGAAGGGATTAGGGCGACTCCAATTTCCTCGGCTCCTCCTCAGAGAACGGAGGGGCCGAGCGCTTCTAGACGGGACGATGAAGTTCCTGCTGTCCTTTGGGATATCCTCCCCGGGTTTTCAGAGTGGGAGAATGTCGAAGTAGCTTCGGCCATGATAAAGAACCGCCCCTACTCATGGTGGGTGGAGAATGCCGAACAATATCGGTTTGCCGAGCAAATTGAGTTACATTACGGCATTTTTGAAGTTGATGGGTATTGGTGCCGAATGCCCGCGGCATCCGATAGAATCCATCGTCCACCCTCGGGGTATGTGGGGGTGTACACAAGACAGCTTCAGTACGGGTTGAGGTTCCCTTTGGACGTATTCGTCCGAGACTTGTTGATCCATTACAATATCTCCCTATGTCAGCTAACTCCTACCAGCATCCGAAGGGTGATGACATACTTATGGGTCTGCAAGTTCTTCAAGTATGTGCTGAACCTGCACTGCTTCAAAAAGCTTCATCGGCTAGTGCCAAATATCCAAAGTGGGCACGGAAGCCATGGTTCTGGGTGGTACCGGATTGAGTCCCGGCCCCAGTACCTAACCATGTGGCCGAACGACTTTTCAGACAAGGACTGGAGAGGTCAATGGATTTGGGTTAGGGCACCCACGGATCCGGGCCACCCTTGCGTCTTCAGCGCTCCCCGGTACCTTGCTGAGCCTGATCCCGACATGGGAAGTCTAGGTCCCCCCGCAGATAACGGGCCGGATCCGAACCTTGATCAACAAAATATCTTCGGCAAGCTGCCGAACCGGGGGGGCAGCGGCCGAATGCAGCATATCCCGTAGACTTGGCTCCCCGATACGCATTATGTTTTCCAAGAGAACATGCTAGCAGCTGTTGGCCTCAGCCGAAAGTTTAAGGATGGTAAGCTTCTTCGGCTGGGACCGAGGCTTTTAAATTATCTCTTTTTCTCCTTACTTCGCTTTTTTATGCTGTGCCAACCTAACTGAACTGACCTTTCCCCTTTTCTTTTTCAGAATGGGACGAGACCAACGTTGGCATTAACTATGCTCGTCTTGGCGTCAACCGAGAACGAGTTGTAACTGATCGGGCCCCGTCTATCACTGAACCGAGGCATAGGGAAGTTCATCTAGACTCTTCCCACTTCCAAATTGAGGCTGTTGCTCTGTATCAGAGGCAGAAGCCTTGGTGGAAGAAGAGAGACCCCTGGTTTCAGCTGCTGGACGAAGAAGCTGAAGTTGGCCGTACAGCCGAAGAGGTTGCACGGGTTCTCGAAGCTTGCGAAGGAGGAGAAGGGTCTTCCAGAGCTGCTGAAGAAGAAGCTGCAGCTAGGGAAGCTGAAGAAGACGAGGCTTTGCTGAAGACCTCGGTGAGCTTTCAGACTTAACTTTGTCTTTCTTTTTTTTTTTTTTTTTACTCATATTCTTCCTCCCCCCTGTCTGTTACAGTCTGAAGAGAGTAACAGACACAGAGAAGGGAAAGCCCCTGTTCGTCCCGAAGACCAAATACAAGAAGAGTCTTCAGACTCAGACATGGACGAGCAGCCCCTTCAGAAAAGGCGCCGAAGAATGGCCATCATCGGCCCTCATGACTTTCAACGGAGGCCGATGACCATCGGCGTTGAAATAAGGGAACCCGAGGAAGACAATGGATCGCCGAGGGTTCCCCGGCCACCACCCCAATCACCTCAAAAGACCCCTCCGCCACCTCCTGAGATGGAGGTGGATCAGAGAACTCCCGAATCTAAGGGAGGGGTCCAAGAAGAAGTTCAGGAGGGTGCTGCTGAGCACAAAAATAAGGATGCCGTGATGCCAAGTGCTGAGGGTTTCACGGCAGACATTGCCAGAGAGGTTGAGGCTTTCGTCCTCACCCCTGAAGAAGAAGTCATAATAATTGACTCTTCTGAGAAGGATGATGTTGAGCCATCCAAAGCTAAAGAAGCTCCATCGTCATCCTTTCCTTCCTTCCAGACTCTGCAATCTGGAGAGATGGGTTTCTCGGCCCCCCGAATTCCAATCCCAGCTCACATCTGGGACCTCATATGGGGTCACAACCGAGAAGGTGCTGCAGCCTACTTCGGCGATTTTGCTGGCATGTCCGAAGTAGATAGGGCAAGAATCTGGTCGCTGAAGGCCACTGCTGGGATGGGTGAATCCAGCAGATCAGTTCCTGACCCAGCCAGGTCTAACCAACTGCTGATGATGCAGGTGATTTTCCTTGCCTTTATTTTCTCTAAAATTCAGCTCTATTTTTATTTATATTTTTTTTTAACTTGTGCTCCTGTTTTCAGTTCGTGCACAATCAGACTCTTACTGTAGAGCTGATAGATACCCTACAAGATAGGGTAGACGCTGCCGAGCACGACAAGAAGGTAGCTGAAGAGGAATTAAAGCTTGCTAAGCTGACGCAAGCAGCAGCTGAAGAGAAGCAGCAGAAGGGTGAGGAATACGAGAAAAAAGCTGCTGAAGCCCTCAAAACCTTCTGCGACGCTATGGAGAAGGAAGTTTTTCCCCCATTGATGGAAGGGGAAAAATTCCTCCAGGAGCACATGGGAGTGGACGTCCCCAAATTCAAGGCTGTCATTGAGAGCCGAATCCAGGAAGGGGCTGCTGCACAAGCTGAAGTGCAACAACGGCTAGAAGCTCTTGAAGCCAGCAGAATGGCTGCTGAAGAGCTGCTCCAAGCCAGGGATGTCCAACTCTCAGAGGCTGCTGCTGCTGCTGAAGCTCAGAGAGCTAAGCTCCAAGAGGCTGAGGATCTGCTGATGGCCAAAAAAGAAGAAGTGGCCCAGGCTCAGACAGAGGCTTCCAAAGTTCAGCAGGAGCTGATTGAGCTGAAAGGTTCCTCCTCCAAGCTCGCCGATGAGCTGAAGAAATCCAAGGAAGACTTAGAGGAGACCCAGAAGAAGTTGGCTGATGCTGAGGCTCTACTCAAAGTCCGTGTCTATACCCAGGAAGAATATGAAATGGGTTTCAGAAACGGGTTCAGAGTGTGCCGAAGAGTCTGCCTTCATGCTGAGCCGAAGCTGGACTGGTCCAAATGTGCTGAATGGGTCCAGAATCCCGAAGACCCTCATATGAAGTATGCAACTCCAGTCGAGGCTGAAATTCTTAAGGCTGAGGAAGCCGAAGAAGAAGCTGAGAGAATGGAGTTGGAGGCTGAACAGAGGGAAAGGGAGGCTCGGCAGAGTGCAAAGCCTGCTTCTTCTGCTGCTGGGGTTGAGGCCACCATGGGGCTCAACAATGCTGATCAGTCTGATCCTCGGGCTGAAGCATAGGAACTCGGGCAGTCGTCTTCAGAATCTTGCGGTTCATCATGCGCTTAACTTTAGACTTGCCGCTTTCTAAATTTTTTGCCTTGTTTTTTGCTTCAGCTTGCCTTGTCGTACAACAGTTTATTTTTTTGCTTATGTACGTATTTCGGCAGCTGTTATTTTCCGCTTGTGGGCGGCTGCCGATACAGTTTATTTGAACTTATAGCTCAATTTCTGAGCATAAATTATTAATTTGATGCTCTTTTCTTCAGTTGCTTTGTTTTTGAATGCTTTACTGATTCTTCAATTCTGCTGAACATAAACTTGCACTGATAGTGCTTCTTGCCCCCCCCCAGAAATTGAAGTATGGCTTCAGCTGAATAAACAATTTCTTTATTTCTTCAAAATGGGTATTCGAAGCACAGGGCCAACTGAAGGCAATGCTTCGGATAACGCCTTTGGAGAACAAATCTTGCTGAAGCTTGACTTCAGCTGAAAGACGAGTTCTTTAAAAAATGGATATCCGAAACACAGGGCCAACTGAAGGCAATGTTTCGGATAATAGCTTTCTGGGATACAAGGCTCAGTTAAGGCAATATCCAAGAATTGTCCATCGACTCATGTCTTTGGAGAACAAGTCTTACTGAAGTTGGACTTCAGCTGAAAGACCAGTGTTCTTTAAAAAGACGGATATCCGAAACACAGGGCCAACTGAAGGCAATGTTTCGAATAATGACTTTCTGGGATACAAGACTCAGTTAAGGCAATATCCCAGAATTGTCCATGGACTTGTCTTTGGAGAACAAGTCTTACTGAAGTTGGACTTCAGCTGAAAGACCAGTGTTCTTTAAAAAGACGAGTTTTGTCAGCAATCTGAAACCCAGTTACCCGAAGCCGAAGGTTTCAGACGAGGCTGAATAAACAATTTTCAACTGTTGCTGTTATCCTTGATTTTCTGTCTATCTTTGAAAAATGGATACCCGAAACACAGGGCCAACTTAAGGCAATGTTTCGGATAATGGCTCTCTGGGATACAAGGCTCAGTTAAGGCAATATCCCAGAATTGTCCATGGACTCATGTCTTTGGAGAACAAGTCTTACTGAAGTTTGACTTCAGCTGAAAGACCAGTGTTCTTTAAAAAGACGAGTTTTGTCAGCAATCTGAAACCCAGTTACCCGAAGGCGAAGGTTTCAGACGAGGCTGAATAAAAAACCCTTAAAGAGTAGATAGAACGAAGAAAACTTTGAAAGGATAAAAAGTTGTAAACATTTATATAAATGGCGGCTCCAAGGCCTTTCATTAGTTCAAAATGTACTTACAAAGATTGTTCTGCCCCGAAGGGTTTACACATGATATTTTTTCAGTACATCAGCATTCCAGTGATTTTTCAACTCAGTTCCATCCAACTGCCGAAGTCGGTATGTCCCTGGCTGAAGCTCATCATAGATTTCATACTGATGATACCCCGAGAATGCGTCCATGAAACTAAGCAAGGCATGGCCACTTGTCGAATCGACTAACTGATCGATCCTCGGCAAGGGATAGAAATCCTTCGGACAAGCCTTATTTAGGTCCGTGAAGTCAACACACATCCTCCAGGTACCATTGGGCTTCTGAACCATCACCACATTTGCCAGCCATTCTGGATATTGGCAAGGTTCGATGAATCCTGCCTCCAGCAATTTTTTGACCTCGGCTGCGATGTCTCGGTTCTTATTAGCGGAGTAATTCCGCTTCTTTTGCTTAACTGGTCGACACGTTGGGTCAACATTAAGCTTATGGGAGATGAGGTCTGAACTTATCCCGGTCATATCAGCTGCCGAGAAAGCAAACACATCTCTATTGTCCCGAAGGAGCTGAATAAGTTCACAACGGGTGTTCGGATCAAGGTCCATCCCGATTGTTACACATTTCTCAACGTCTCCTTCGGCCAACTCAACCGTTTCAGTCTGTTGGTCCATGTCCATTGCTGATGGACTGGACTCTTCATAATCTGGCCTGCTGCCAATGTCAGCAGGTGTCCCAGTCTTTTTGTTCTTCGGCTGGCTCTCTGAGTCTTGCTGTTCAGCTGAAGAACTAGCCTTTTCCCTTTCGGGCCCTTTACCTCTGGGTTCAGATCCTTGAGCCGAAGCACTTAGGCCTTTCGGCTTTTTGGTGCTTGGCTCTCTTTCTTTTTCTTTCTCCTCCTCATCCTTGTCGTCATCTGGGCGACTACTGGATGGCTTGAGGTAGTTTCACCTTCGGGCGTCCTTTTGGTTGCCCTGTATCCTTTCGGGGAAGCCGGCGTCTGAGTCGTAAATCATCAGCTGATGATAAGTTGAGACGACCCCTTGGATCTCATGAATTATGGGTCTCCCCAAAATCACGTTGTACACTGAAGGAGCGTCAATGACCAAAAATTCAATCATGACGTTCCTGGCTGCCTCATCGCAGCCGATGGTGACAGGAAGTGTCACCTTCCCATCTGGATAAGTTGAAGCCCCGTTGAACCCGGATACCGGGTAGGGTACCGGCGTAAGGTGCTTGGGCTTCAGCTTGATTTGATTGTAGGCCTTTCGGAACAGAATGTTTTCTCCGCTGCCACCGTCAACAAGGACCTTACTGACGTCGTGGTTGGCCACCGTGGCGATGATCACCAACGGATCCTCGTGAGGGAACGTAATCCCCCGGCAGTCAGCGGCTGTGAACGTCATGTTCGGCACCGGCGACTGGGGAGATTGAATGTCAGCGTTGTTCACCTGGTGAGTCAAAGCTCTAAGGTGTCGCTTGTGCTCCCTCCGAGAGTATATTCCTCCCGAGATAACATTGATCGGAGGGAATTTCCCCTCCGGCTTTTTACTGTTCTTCCGGGGGAAGTCAAGGTCTTGCCGAGAGTCCTTTGCTGACTTCTCGAATTCTTTTTTCTCGCGGTGATCCGCGATGTATTTTTTCAAGTATCCCTTCCGGACCATGTCCTCTATCTGGTCCTTCAGTTGGATACACTCCTCAGTGTTGTGTCCCGAAGACTCGTGGAACTCGCACCACTTATTTTTATTTTTTCGCTGATACCACTCTGGGAGTGGTCTCGGCTTTCGGTAACTCTGCTCCTCCTTCGTCACGCTGTAAATTTTGGCGCGTGGAAGAGAGAGCGGAGTGTAGGACTCGTATCTGCCTGTGTATGAGGCAGATCTTTCCTTCTTTGGGTCGCTGGCCGAAGATTGCTCCGAGGCCTTTGACTTTCCCTTTGCCTTATGGCCTTGGCCTTCAGACAAGGGTATTTGTCTTTGTTTCCCTCCCCCAAATTGAGGTTGGGTTTTCGCTTTGTTCCATTCTTCGGCTCGGATGAACTTATCCGAGGCATTCAGAGCTTCCTCCAAGGTCTGCGGGGTATGCATGACCATGAAGTCTAGGAACTTTCCGGGCTGAAGGCCATTCTGCATCGCAAAAACGGCTAGCCCCTGGTCCAGCTGAGAGACGCTGGATGACTCGTTACTGAAACGGGTCAGATAGTCTCGGAGGCTTTCGGTTTCCCCCTGTTGCAGACTCATGAGTTCTGTAGTAGTTTTCTCTCGGCGGTTTGCCGTGGAAAACTTGCTCCTGAACTTGGAGGACAGATAATCCCACCCTGTTATAGAGCCTTGCTTTACTCCCTTGGAGATCCACGCTTGCGCGACCCCCTTGAGAGTGGTTGGGAAATATTTGCACCAAGTCGCTTCGGATCTGAGGCAAAGATGCATATGAGTCTCATACGAGGCCACGTGATCCTTCGGATCCGAGGTCCCGCCATATGTGATGTGCGACGGTATTTTAACCGTGGGCACGCGCTCTTCCAGTATCCATTGCTCGAATGGTGAACTGGCGGGTAGCATAACGGCCTTGCCCTTGTTCCTGGCCGAAGGGACCGCGCTCCGCCCTCTTAGAGAGGTAGGAGTGGTTTTCGTCCCTGGCTGGGAAGTCTGGGCCTCGGCTGCAGGGAACGAGAGGCGACTGCGCACACTCGGTTCCTTGCCGCCGAGTCGGTCGAGGACGCTTCGGCGAACAGTCTCAGGTTCTCGGTGAGTAGATTCTGGCCGAGAAGCTGAGCTGCTGCTCTTATGCGCTTCTGGTCGTGAGGATGAGGATCCTTTTAAAAATGGAGGGTTCTTTTTCCTCTCTTTTTCATTTTTCCAGGAATCCTCTTCCCACTCTTCCAGTTCCCGGAAGGAAGGAAGCTTCCCACCATCATGGTCTAACTTCCTCCGCTGATGCCGGGTATGCGGAGGAGTTCGATCACGGGGTGGTGGCATATTTTGTTCCCTCATCGCCTCCATGAGTACTGCCAGCGCTCTTGCCACCTCTTCCGAGCTAGGCCCCGTCAAAGGGGTCCTCGGCCGAGTATGGGAATGAGGGCGCACAGCCGATGGTTGGCTTTGGGGCACTGAATGTGTCCTATGATTGGACTCACCCCTGCTAGACCGAGGGTGACTCGGCCTATGATGAGAGTCATGAATTACGGGAGAAAGGGAATCCTCCTTGTATGATCCTCCCCCCGAGCTGGCACCCTTGGGAGAGTTCCGGTCTGGCGAGGGTGATGGTGTAGGGGTTTTAGGCTTTTCGCCCGCTCCTTGACGGAGGCCTTTGCTCTTGCGGTTCTTAGCCATTGCTACTAAGATAATTGCAAGATGATATTGGTTAGAAATTTGGCTTAAAGATTTTTGAAAGTCTTCCTCACAGGCGGCGCCAAATTGTTTCGGGTGAAAACAATGGGACCTTGCCGAAGGTCCGCTGAAACGGAGAAGACTGGATTCGGTCCAAGTTATGTTGGGCCGAAGGTTTCCTACACAGTAAACACACGTAAACTAGCCTCGGGGGTGTTGCCGAGGAAGGCCCTTCTGATGCTAAAGTTAGTACAATGTGTAGAAAGAGAACACTATGCAAGAGAATTAGTTGCTTGAGGCTTTGCTTGAATATATGAGAATATATGAGAATATATGAATGAATGTGACTATATGAATATTGATGGCTTTTATACCTCTTCATACATGGAGAAGTTGGGCCTTAGCCCAATTGGCTTGCTTTGAGGGCTGACCTTTGACTTTAGCACAATTGGAGAGTTGAACCTTGACCTTGGGCTTTTAATTGGATCATTTAATGCCTAGGCCCAATTGGACTAAATTGGACCCAAACACCAACTAATTCAATCAAACGCCCTATTCATTTCAATTGTTCATCATTAATCACAAAAAAAGTAAATAAAAATCAGAAACCCTAGATCTCAAATCGAAGAGCACATACCTTCGTGAACAATTCCACCACATCTGCAAAGATCTGGCACCGGTAAATAAATAGACCGTCAATTACGATGAAAGAGAGAAAGGAGGGTAAATAAATAAATAGAGAGAGAAAGGAGGGTTTGAGCAGAGAGAAGAGAGAGGAGACGGAGAAATCAAGAAGAGAGAGAAAACAAAGGAGAGAGTACGAGAAGAGAGAAGAAGGCTAAGCTATTATAATAGAGATGAGGCGCATTTTTTTTTTAACAAAACCACCGGTTCAAAACCGGTGGCCTTTACCATTTATGCCACCGGTTCGGTTTGAACCGGTGGCAATTTAAATATATATAATTCCGCCCACTTTTTAAGCCACCGGTTTTCGAAAACCGGTGGCCATTGAGCGGTGCCTTTTTGTATTTTTCTACTAGTGATGTGAACCAAACACCCCTTTATAGAGTTAACTTTAGGTTATATTTTGCCAACTTAGTGACGGATTCATAAATATAGGGATGAGGGTATAAACGTACAAAATTTCGTTTGTTAAAAAAATGCGAAACTTAGTCGGGTTAAAATTTCCACATACATATTATTCATTGTTTCCATCATCTTGTTAGTCATTGAATGTATCCTTTAGGTTTTTGTTAGTTGCGGCGAACACTACAAGAGGGGGTGAATTGTAATGAATTCCTAGTTGCTACTTTTTGGGAAATATAAAATAGAATGTAAAAGGAGCTTAGAAATCACATATGATTTTACGAGAAAACCTTTCAGGGCCCAACTAGAAATAAAACTTCGAGCCTCTACGAGATTTCAAACACCAAATTACATCACTATAATAAGGAAAACTCTCCTAGTTACAACCTATTATAAACAGACCTTTACTCACAAGTTATAGACTAAACTTGCTACACGATAGGATCCTATTCTACCTAACTTAAGTCTCGGACTTAGATTCTACTCTCAAGCTGTATGAAATAATGTCAAACACTCATCCACTACTACAAAAAATAGAATAGAGAACTGTTGAAATAGGTCTTATAGAACGTCTTAGAGGCGATCTTCTGCTAAGCGATGTGTAAATTTTATAAAACGGGTATGGGAGGCGTTCTATATGCAAGGGAAAAAAGAACGGGTACACACTAGTGGAAAAAAGTCTATCCGTAACGGGCAAAAATAGGCTTTTCGTAACGGGCAGCGGGTGTTACGAATACCGCCGTTATGGATAGAAATATTATTCGTAACAGGCACTTGTCCGTTACGAATAACTAGTTATTTGTAACTGGCAGGTTAAGTGCCCGTTACGAATAGCCAGGTTTTTGTAATAGGCAGGTTAAGTGCCCGTTACGAATAATCAGGTATTTGTAACGGACAAGTTGACTGCCCGTTACGAATAGCTAGGTATTTGTAACGGACAGGATGACTGCCAGTTACAAATAGCCAGTTATTTGTAACGGACACTTTGACTGCCCGTTATGAATAATGTCTTGAAAAATAAAAATATTAGGGGTATTTGTAACAGGCACAAAAGGTGCTTGTTACAAATACCCCTTTTCCTTTTCCATTGACATCTCAAATTATCATTTATAATAATTAATAAACAAAAACCCAAATACTGATTTCCATGCTACAAAGGCACACAAATATTATCAAAATATGGCACACCAAATTTTAAATTTATGGAAGAGATAAAGCAATAAACGAATAATTCAAGTATAAAAGAGAGTTTAGAGATACAATACTGAGTAAGGATAGACTTCTTGATCAGAATGGACACAATTCCGAAAGAACTTGTAAATTAAATGTTTGTATTGATGTATTAGTGAACTTATATTTGTATTACAATGCCTAATTAGACTATTTATACCCAGGAATTGCTAGGGTTACATAGATATTAGAATATATTCAAAAGGACAAGTTCTTCTTAGTTTTATTTTACTTTCCTTGCTCAGTTAGTGTATATTTGGCATATTTCTCAGCTAATTGATCCTTCAATCTTCTTGCCATACTTGTATCAATCAAGTCGTTTTGCTTGATTCTTGATTTATTCTGGCTTGCTCTTGGACGCTTGGATGTGCCCTAAATTCTTTGGGTTGTTTAGGAAGATGGGCCCAACACCGCTGTTCAGACATGCGATCATGCAGAACGTCAAAGAGACTGGTTGTATGTAAAACAAGTCTCTTTGATGTTTTTTCCCTTTTATTGAGAATGGGGGTACAGGTGTGTGATTGCATCTCTGAATACCCTAGGATCCGCCATTGTGCCGACTTATCTTCAGTTCACTTATTTTCGAAAATAAAAGGGTAAGATATGTTCATACAAATTTGTAGAATTACAAATAATTTAAGAATTGAGAGGTGTTTCTTTTTCAAGACAATGTTATACAATTATTTTTATTTTACCTTTTTTTTATTATCAATACTTTTAAATATAAATATGTTTATTACAAACAAAATAAGTCAATTAGATCAAAGCTCCACGTTGTTTTTTTTTCTGGGACAAAGGTTATAGAAAGCACAAGGAAAGTGAGAACGACCTTAAGCTCTTCGTTCAGCAGTAGCTAACATAGGAGCTGGTCGGACCATATCTCTTTGCACTTTGACGCACACCACCCGGTCGAAGTTTCTGCACAAGTGTATAATGTCCTGTGTGATGTTTTGGATGTCCGCAGGAGCTTGCAATGGGCTGTGCAGAGCCTTTACGACACTCTCACAATCAGTTTTAATGATCACATTACTACACTTAGCCTTTTGCTCTTTTATCCCCCACCATACTGCATAAGCTTTAGCTTGTCTAGGACTCGTAGCAAAGATTTTCCTGGCGACCCCCCATGTTGTCCTCCTGTATTGTCTTCAGTCCAAGCCATAGCTGCTACCCATCCTGGTTTGTCCTTACCCTTTTGTTTCTTCCAAGCTGCATCCACTAGGATTGCTCGAGTATGTTGCGTTCTAGCCTTCCCAGAGAGGAACACTTTCGGCATCTTTGGGATGTTGCTGCTGCTCTTCCTCTGCAATTTCCACTCCCTATCCCTTGTTTTTTCTGCACCTTGCCATCTCTTAATGTGTACCTGCACTAGATCCATTATAGCCAACGGACTGACACTCACATTTTTAAAAATAACATCATTTATGTGAGTCCAAATTGCCCACAAGACCGCTAAAAAGTATTGTTGAATCCTTCCCTCCCTTCTATCTTGTTTCCTAGCATATTGAAGTAGGTCTTGTATTCACGTGGTCAAAGAAACACCCTGATTTGCTGATGGGTTCAAGCTCAACGCACTTTCCCTCCAAACTCTTTGTGTAATAGAGCAATCCCTAAATAGATGACATGCTGTTTCATCTTCGTTGCCACACAGAGCACAATGCCGCTGGACTGCCAGGCCCCTTTTTCTCAGATTATCTCTTGTCGCTATTCTATTACGCATGATCTTCTACGCTAGGATGATGCACTTTGGCCACGTTTTAATTTTCCATAATTCCCCCCAGCCGCCATTAGCCTCTCCTGCTTGTAGCTTTTGGTCTTGCCACCAATATCCAGACTTGAAACTGTATGTTCCACTCTCCTCAGGCATCCACTGGAATCGATCCTCGCCTTGTTCAGGGATACAAATGGAAAGGATATTTCTAGTGTCCTCCTGCTCAAATGTGCTCCAAATAAGTGGTGCATTCCAGCACCTACCATTGGTCATTAGGTCCGAAACTTTATTCATGCCCATCTCATAGAATCTTGTCTTTGGTTGCAGCCTCTTTTCCTGAGCCCACACATCTTGTGTTATGTCAGTCGAGGTTCCATCCCCAATGATTCTACCAAGTCCCGACTTCATTTTCAATGTAGCTTTTACCAAGCTTTGTTCAGCCCAAGATCCATGGGGTGGCACCCTTCCCCTGTATCCCAAACTAATTGGATTGTCACCATACTTCTTAGCAAAGATTTTGCTCGCTAGCAGTTCGGGGTGGGTGTATAGCCTCCATCTTTGTCTCATCAATAGAGCTCTATTTACATGCTTTATGTTTTTCATTCCAAGGCCCCCTACACTCTTGTGAGCACACAAAACCTCTCTGCTAATCCAGTATATAGGTTTCCCTTGGTTCTTATTCGACCACAAGAACCTCAAAATGACTGACATTATACTCTTTTCACACCCACTAGGACACCAGTACACCGAGAAAATGTGTTGAATAGCTGCAACTAGGACCCCATTAATTAGGATCAGTTTCCCAGCCATTGACAAGTTAGCAAACTTCCAGGATGTGATTTTTGCTATGATTTTTTCTTGAACTTTTTTAAGCTTCACTTATGATCTCCCATCTATATCCATTAGGCACCCTAGATATGTGCCCAGCTCCCTTGTACTAATTACTCCTAGGGGCTGTCTTAATAACCTGGTAAATCTTGCTGGGGTGTTAGGACTAAATAGGATTGCAGATTTCTGGAAATTCACAGCTTCACCTGAGAGCTTGCAGAACTTATCCAACGTTTGTTTCAAAGTCTTTATCGCTGTAGGAGTCGGCTTGAAGCAGAACAGCGCATCGTCTGCGAAAAATAGATGTGAAATCGATGGTGCTGATCTCGCTACTTTTATCCCTTGGATGCTCTTCTCCCTTTCTAACGCCAACATCTGTCTAGATAGGCTCTCCATTACTAGGATGAACAAATATGGTGATAAGGGATCACCTTGTTAAAGTCCAACTCTAGGAAAAAAAGATTTGTAGCTTCTCCATTAACCAAAATTGCATAGCTCACTGATTTGATGCATTGTTCAATCCATGCAATCCATTTATTCGAGAAATTCATACTTCTAAGGATCAAGATTACAAAGTCCCATCTTATTCTATCATATGCTTTGCTAAGATCCACCTTCAAAATAGCCTCAAACCTACCACCCTTCTTCCTTTTTTTACCGAGTTCAGAAGCTCATGAGCGATAAAACAGTTGTCCACCATACTCCTGTTAGGCACGAAGGCATTTTGGAACTCCCCAATAACTGACCCCAAAATGGGTTTCAGCCTATTAACCAGACACTTAGAAATAATTTTATAGAACGAATTGCACAAGCTTAT